TATCACACAGCTGATATAGAATTCGGTTCTAGTTCTTGCTTCAGTTCATCAGGAGCTGATGTAAGGCTACTGGGGTGCAACTCTCAGAATTCCTCGTTCCCCCAACCCTCTGAATCTCCTGAACAGCAGCAGATTGTAATCAGGGATGTGTATTATTATTAGCAGCTCATTATGACATTTCAGATCCCTGGGCCTTTGCCACCTGACTGGGCTCCCCTCTGGTCTTGGTGGCTGCTGGCTCTTTAACTTATCAGTTTCTTCCAGTATCTCCCCTTCACACACCCCAATCTCTGATCTTTATTTCCCAAAGGCTATGTGTACTCTGCAGAGGAAGATCAAAGTTGCTGCTGTTGAACTTCCAGGGTTCGAATTAGCAGGTCTAGTGAAGATAGCTAATTTAAAGTGAGAGGGGCGTGCTGGTTGATGCCGATAACACTGCTGTCACGAGGAGTAAGGGAAGTCGAAGGGAGAGTGTTCTTTTTCAGCTTCCTGTGGACAGCGCCAAAAGCCAAGTTAAGCGTGCTAAGCCCTGTGCCCTCCCTCCCCCGTACACTGTATTTTTAAGCTGTAGCCTAGAGATAACATGCTCTCTGTGTTTTAATCTGCACTCTTCTCAGTGTGCGGGGGAGGGACACACATGGGCGTAGCACAGAGAAGTTTTGCTCTGGTCACAAAGGGCAGAAATTGGCCTTCAGTGACCTGTGTGTTTATAGGGAGCCAGGGATTTCAAAGTTGTCTTAGGAGTCCGAATATACAATTCTTGGTTAAATTAATGGGCACTGAACGTGCAAACCCCCAAGGCAACTGTGAAACCCCTTCCTCCTCCCAGAGGGTTTTCTCAGCTGAATCTCTGTGAGCTTTATGTAAAAATTAAACTTTTTGAGACCACGGAACACCAAACAATAATATTTTTTTTAATGCGGAACATCTATGAAAATTTTCTCCAAAAAAATAATTGTTGTCAGACAAAAACAAAGAACTAACAAAATCAAAGAAGAGGTGGTGGCACACTTGCAAGTTGTTCTCAGAACACCAGTGTTCCCCGGAATGTGTGAGGGGAATGTGGCGAGTGTCTTTCTCCTTCTCAGTTGGGGGTCACGTCAGTGAGATTTTTTTCTTCCCAGTTGTGTGTGGCCTCCAACTGACTTTTCTGTGGGTCAGTGGCCCCCGACCCAAAAAAGGTTCCCACCCCTGTCCAGGAAGAATAAATAAAGGAAATTTAGAGAAGCACAGAGGAGCCAGCATAGTGCTGGCCACACTAACACTTACGGTAATGTAACTTATGTTGCTCAGGGGTGAAATATTCACACCCAAATGATATAAGCTTTGCCGACATAAGTGGCCTTAGTTTCCTTAATAACCTTTTGTGCACAACTTTTTCAAAGACTTTCTGAAAACCACATATATTTTGCCCATTGGGTTCCCCTTTGTGCAATACTGCATTGACCTACCCCAAAAGATTTAATAGATTAGTGTGACACAAGCCTCGTCTGCTTTAGGAATTTATATTGATATTGATACGTTTTTCAGTAGTGTGACGCCACATCCCAAAGAGATGTAGTTACATATACCAAGCTAATCCCTGGTGTAGCCTAGGGATGTAATAGTGTAGTTGATTAACTAATTAATGATAAGTTGGGTTTGGTCCTGCCTTGGGCAGGGGGCTGGACTTGATGACTCCTGAGGTCTCTTCCAGCTCTGTGATTCTATGAATGCTATAGACTACACACATTTCCCCAGCCCCTCATGCCAGTACACTTTTTTAGCAAGCTGGCCAGGACCTACCCCTGCTGTGGCTCTCCATTTAAAGTATATTAGGAGCTGGGCAGGCAGGCAGCCCAACTCAGTCCCAGCTTGCACTGTGTCTGGGAGCTCAGACCCGCCCCAGACAGGGGCTGCTGTGATTCTATGAATGCTATAGACTACACACATTTCCCCAGCCCCTCATGCCAGTACACTTTTTTAGCAAGCTGGCCAGGACCTACCCCTGCTGTGGCTCTCCATTTAAAGTATATTAGGAGCTGGGCAGGCAGGCAGCCCAACTCAGTCCCAGCTTGCACTGTGTCTGGGAGCTCAGACCCGCCCCAGACAGGGGCTGGGGGCCCACCCAGACCCGCCCCAAACAGGGGCTGCTGTCACCCTGTGCTATTGCCTCTGTATCAGAGACAGCAGCATGGGGTGACAGGCAGCTGGTCTGTGCAGAGTGCACGTTTCTTTTTCCAGCTGTGCTAGTTGGACCTTTTCCTCGCCTTATCACACAGCTGATATAGAATTCGGTTCTAGTTCTTGCTTCAGTTCATCAGGAGCTGATGTAAGGCTACTGGGGTGCAACTCTCAGAATTCCTCGTTCCCCCAACCCTCTGAATCTCCTGAACAGCAGCAGATTGTAATCAGGGATGTGTATTATTATTAGCAGCTCATTATGACATTTCAGATCCCTGGGCCTTTGCCACCTGACTGGGCTCCCCTCTGGTCTTGGTGGCTGCTGGCTCTTTAACTTATCAGTTTCTTCCAGTATCTCCCCTTCACACACCCCAATCTCTGATCTTTATTTCCCAAAGGCTATGTGTACTCTGCAGAGGAAGATCAAAGTTGCTGCTGTTGAACTTCCAGGGTTCGAATTAGCAGGTCTAGTGAAGATAGCTAATTTAAAGTGAGAGGGGCGTGCTGGTTGATGCCGATAACACTGCTGTCACGAGGAGTAAGGGAAGTCGAAGGGAGAGTGTTCTTTTTCAGCTTCCTGTGGACAGCGCCAAAAGCCAAGTTAAGCTACTTCAATTGCAGCTACGCAATTAACATAGCTGAAGTTGCATAGTTTAATTTGGCTTTGTCTTGCAGTGTAGACATACCCAAACAGAGCAGCTCTGCTCTACCACACTCGTGGTAAAAACTGATTCAAGGAATTCAGTCTGTCAGTATTATCCTTATCCTCCTCAACTGCTCCCTTCCACCCTGGTCCTGATCCAGGGCACCCATCCACACTCTCACGGGGCTCCTGATTTCGATGGGCTGAAATAATTCCCTGGGAGTTGTTTGATATCTTTGACCATTCACTCTGCAAATTCCATTTTAGCCTGTTAATTCCCATCATGCACCTCTCCACATGTACTTTGTTTTCCTTTCTGCTGGCTTCACAGGGTTAATAGTTTCCAATTGCCGAGGGATCCCTGTTTGACTCTAACAAATCCTTGCCGCCGGCTGGGTGGCCGAATAAGGTTACTGATTTTTTCCCCTTGCTTATTGATTCCTGCTTTGCTTAGGAGTTGCCAGTGTCCGGTTGGTAACATAGCCAAGTCCAGGCTGAGTCCAAGGATTGTAACTTCCCTGCTATGCAGGTACTGTACCTCCCGCTGGTCAGCGGCTGCAGATTTACACAAATTTTGGTGGTGCCCCGAGCCCACAGCTGCCCCCAACCTGCCTAAGGCTCTAGAAGGGAGTTTGGATGGGGGAGGGGTACAGGCTCTGGGGTGGAGCATTGCCAGGGATGAGGCACTTGTAGTATGAACTGCATGGATTCCCCAGGGTTAAGGCCAGAGAAAAACCTCCCACTGTCCTTTTCCCCACTGGCCACAGCAGGGCAGGTGGACTCTTTTGTTGCTGCCCCCAGCAGCACATGCACCCCCTCTCTTTACCTCCTGCCCCCTGGGGATGGGTCCTTCCTCACGCTCCTCCTCCTCTAAGGCTGTGTCTACACTGGGCCACTTATTCCGGAAAATCAGCCGCTTTTCCGGAATAAGCTGCGAGCTGTCTACACTGGCCCTTGAATTTCCGGAAAAGGACTGACGATCTACTGTAAAGTTGTCAGTGTTTTTCCGGAAAAACTATGCTGCTCCCCCTCGGGCAAAAGTCCTTTTTCCGGAAAACTGTTCCGGAAAAGGGCCAGTGTAGACAGCACAGTAGTCTTTTCCGGAAAAAAGCCCCGATCGCGAATGATGATCTGGGCTTTTTTCCAGAAAAGCGCGTCTACATTGGCACGGATGCTTTTCCGGAAAAAGGGCTTTTCTGGAAAAGCATCCTGCCAATGTAGATGCTCTTTTTCCAGAAATACTTATAACGGAAAACTGTTCTGTTTTAAGCATTTCCGGAAAAGAGTGCCAGTGTAGACGTAGCCTCAGTGCCTGATCCTCTCTTCCCACGTAGCTTGTGCCCCTCTTTCTCCCTTTCCTCCATGCTACATGTCTGTCTTCTTACACCCTTCTTCCCGCTTGGCTTCTGCCCTTTTTCTCATCCTTTGGTAGCTGCACCTCTTCTTACCCACCTCTCTATTTCCCCTCCAGAATTCACCCCTCTGCTAACCCTCGTCTGTTCCCTGGCACCTGCCCTTCTCACACCAGTCTGCCCCCTACAACCAATCCTCTCCTCATCCCTTTCCCTGCCTCCAATTTGCCCCCTTCTCCCCTTCCTTCCCCCTTCCTCCTCCCACATGGTAGCCCCCTCCCTGCTCCTCATCTGCTTGCCCCTTCCTTTGCCCTGATGCTGCCAATGCCTGCCCCTCCCCTTTTCTTGCCAGTGCCCACCCTTCCCTTCCCCCACTACTTTCTAGCACTCCTCCAGCACCAACCCCTGCACCTCTGCTCTGCCGCACATTTCTGTTAAAAGCATTTTCGGAAAAGAGTGTCTAGATTGGCACAAACGCTTTTCCACAAAGAAGCCCCAGTTGCCATTTTCGCGACCGGGGCTTTTTTGAGCAAAACAAATCTGGGCTGTCTACACTGGCCCTTTTGCGCAAAAGTTTTGCACAAAAGGACTTTTGCCCGAACGGGAGCAGCATAGTAATTCCGCAAGAACACTGACAATCTTACATGAGATCGTCAGTGCTTTTGCGGAAATTCAAGCGGCCAGTGTAGACAGCTGGCAAGTTTTTCCTGAAAAGCGGCTGATTTTCCGGAAAAAGTGGCCAGTCTAGATACAGCCTCTGATTAACAGCTAAGCAGGTTAATTTCCCTTTGGTCCCAGTGACCAGCCCGTCCCCGACACTGACTCTGTGACTCTCTCCCCAGTGGACGTGACTCTGGATCCAGATACGGCAAATCCCTACCTCATCCTGTCTGCAGATTGGAAACATGTGGTGCACAGAGACGAGAACCAAGGTCTGCCCGACACCCTTGAGAGATTTGATAAAATGGCAATTGTCCTGGGCACCGAGAGATTCTTGACTGGGAGGCATTACTGGGAGGTAGAGGTTGGACACAAAAAAGTCTGGACTCTGGGGGTCTGTCGAGAAACTGTGAGAAGAAAGGGGCATCTTGTGTTTATACCTCCAAATGGATTCTGGACAATATGTCACTTGGATGGGCGATATACAGCCAACACCTCCAACCCATTGCCCTTCCCTGTGAGCACCAGGCCCAGCCGGGTGGGGATTTTCCTGGACTACGAGGCGGGCGAGGTCTTGTTTTACAATGTGACTGACAGGTTCCATCTCTTCACCTTCACCAACACCTTCTCCGGGACACTCCGCCCTTATTTCAATCCTGAGTACAATATAGGAGGTACAAACATGGATCCCCTGATAATTTGCCCAGTCCAACCTTGAGAGAAACTCTGTTCCTTTACTGGGTATCTGAAATCTCATCTACATAACAGTATTTTCATACAGCCGTCAGAAAAAAAAATGTGGAAGTATATGTGTGACGTAGTGGGGGTACTTGCTGGGCTGTGGTGACCTCTGCTGTCTGGAGCAAGACCCATCAGGGAAAACCTTATTATGCAAAGGTGACTCAAAAACCTGTCTGACCTGCAGCCCCCATGGGGAGAAACAAAGGGAGGTGGAATGCTGCCCTGGCTGTGGGCAGGGCTGGAAGAGGGGGAGTTAGTTCCTGGCTGGAAGGCAGGGAAGAAGGAGCTGGGGAGGGGCTGGGACTCCCCTATCTCAAGGGGGGCACTGAGGCCTCTTAGCCCCAGTTCCTGTAACCAGATTACATCTGTGCTGCGCTGTGTTCTACTGGCTGGTGAAGTCTGTTCATGCCATTTCGGGGGTGCAGGAGATGGGAAAATCCCGACGCGTCGTCACAATATGAAAAGAAGGTGTGTCAGTGAAGGAGAGGACAGTGAAAATGAATCAAAATGATCAGAGGCACGTCCGAGTGAAAAAGGAAGAAAAGTGACTGATATTAAAAAAATTGGCCTTTATAATGAGAGTTACTTGGCCAGGGGTTTTTACATGGACTGGAGACAAAAACTGCCTCGTTCCATTGTGCATTGTTTGCGGGCAAAAACTAACACACACAGCTATGGTCCCCGCCAAGTTAAATTGACACTTCATTACTAATCATGAGCACTTGTCAAATAAAACAGTTGATTACTTTCCATGACATTTGGATTCACAAGGAAAACAACGTAAAGTTTTTGAGAAGAAGGTAACTATCAGTGAAAAGGCTCAAGAAGTAAGGGTATGTCTACACTACAAAGTTAATTCGAACTAACAGCCGTAAGTTCGAATTAACTTTAATAGCGTCTATACATACAAACCGCTAGTTTGAATTTAATTCGAACTAGCAGAGCGCTTAATTCAAACTAGGTAAACCTCATTCGAACTAGGCGTTAGTCCTCGTAGAATTAAGGGCTGTGTAGCTACTTAATTCGAACTAGTTGGAGGCTAGCCCTTCCCAGCTTGCCCTGGTGGCCACTCTGGGCCAAACCAGGGAAACTCTTCTGCCCCCCTCCCAGCCCCAGAGCCCTTAAAGGGCCACAGTCTGGCTACAGTGCTTGTGCCAGTTGCAAGCCTGCCAGCATCCAGCCAGAAGACCCTGCACCTGGCATGGGATGAGCCAGCCACCCGCTGCCACCCAGCCCTCCACCTCTTCCCAGGACAAGGCTGGGCGGGA